CCGCGGCGATGAAATAAAACAAGCCAGCCATCAAAATGACGAAGAAACCCGATCCCAGCGAGTAATTCTGCGGCCAGTCGACATACAGTTCAGTCTTTTTTAGCTGGCTAGTGTATTTTTCGCTAAAGTTAGCTGAATAAACCTCGCTATTGAGGTTCGGCTGCTCTTTCGCGAACTTCTCATCCACCATTCGCTCGATTTTTTGGAGTCTAGCTAGGTGGCTTCTTCGCCTGAGCTGGTCCTGGTTAAGTTCTAAACAGATTGACCTGATCACGGCGGAGAATGACGTCATCAAGCCTGTGGGGTGGGTTGGGGTTGGTGTTTTTTTCTAAAATGAGTTTGTTGTTTGTTGCTGTTGTTGAAAAGTTGTTTGTGTGGTGGCATCTGGCGTACGGAACTTTAGAATTGTTTTGCAACATACACGTCCACCTCGTTGAAGTCGTTTAAACTTTAACTAATAATTCTAATATCGTAAGAATGAATGTATCAATGAATGAATTAATTAATTAATGAAATAGTTGGTTAATTAATTAATTAATTAATTAATCTCAATCAAGCAATTTATTGATCATTTGAATTTACCATAACAAACAAAAACGATCAAAATTTTTTCACTAAGAATTTAAATTTTCCTCACAATAACAAAATTCATCCCTGTTAAAAGTTCCAGTAAAAAATTGTAGCCAAGCAATCCACTCCGGTCCAGACAACCTTCCAACCGATCTATTCCCGAATTTCTCAATCAATCCATTCCAAAAACTTTCCAACCAACTTCGAAATTTTTTATCAAGCCCCTTTTTCACGCCAAGACCCCTCATTTTAAATCCCCCCCCACTAAAAAAACTCACCACAGACGAAATACACCTCTGCAGCGGAATGGAAGTAGTACAGCTTCCAGGCCAGTGACGTCACGCATACCCCGACCGTTGCTAGGGTGGTTGCCAGGAGCCCGAAGGCCAATGAGAGGAGGAGGAGGACGATGACGACCCAATTGCAATCTAATTAGCATAATTTATGTGTGGTCAATTTGCATAATTTATGTCTGGTCAATTTGCATAGTTCGTGAAATGATCAAAGTGATTTATAAATAAATTTGCATATAATTTATTTTTTATTAACATAAATTCTGCGAATAATGGTAAGTCTGAATGTTTTAAGACTGGTAGAATACTGCTACTACTACTACTACTACTACTACCACCACAACTGCTGCTGCTACTACTACTACTACTACTTAAACTTCTGCAACTACTACTACTTATATTAATAATAAAAATAACAATAATAATATTATAAATAATAATAACAACAAACTTGACAATTTAGTACAGGCTTCAGTCTTATTGACCAAATCAAAATTATACACATTATCATGATGATGATGATAATGAATGATTTTCGTGATGACGTCACTTCCGTCACGGAGGCCGCCATTTTTGTTGCTGAGGACGTTTAAACTATTTCCGGCGGATGTTGACGGAAAAGACGACGAAGATGATGATGCGACGGATAGAGAGATGGTAGTAAGATTCTCGATAAAAGAAAAGACCTCACCATCCTACTCACCAACGTCACCATCCTACTCACCAACGTCACCATCATATTCACCAACATCACCGTGCTACCTGCCAACGTCACCATCATTCTCGCCAACATCACCAAACTACAGTCCGCCTAGCCCAAGTTACGTACCAACTTCACCATCCTAATCGCCAACATCACCAGCTTTTCCGCCCTCATCCCCAAATTATCTCC